TGTCAGGAGAATCTTTAGTCAATTGAAACAGATTCAGAATGACAGATGATAGCATTAGTAGACAAACTAACATAAATATAATAATAAATGTTCAAGTAATAAATGAAAGCATGGTAATGATGAAGAGAGAAATGGAAGGTATAAAATAGATCCATTTAGAACTTCTAGAGATGAAAAATACAGGATCTGAAATAAAAATATATGCTGAATAGGATTAAAAGATTAGACATTGGAGAAGAAAAGATTAATGAACTTGAAGATATAACTATACAAATTATTCAAAATGAAATACAGAGAAAAACGGAATTGAAAAAGCATAAATTTTGTGTTTCATTATCAATGAATCTAAGATATATACATGTAAGTGGTTTCCCAGGAGGAGGTAAAGGGATAGAAAATTTTTTGAAGAAATAATGGCCAAAATTTGATGAAAATTATAAACTCACAGATCTAAGGAACTTAACCAACTCCAAGGAGAACATGAAGAAAAGAAAACAATGATGCGTTATAATTAAGTTAAAGAGAAAAATCTCAAAACATGACAGCAAATGACACATTCATTCAGAGGGATAAAAATATGAACAAGAGCACACTTTTCATCAGAAAACATGTAGGCGAGAAGGCAGTAGAACAATATCTTTATAATATCTTTCAAAAATGAAGGTGAAGTAAAAACTTTTTTTTTTTCCTTTTTGTCTTTTTTTTTTTGTGTCCGGCAACGGATCGCAACCCTCAGTGTCGCGCCCACACCGGACCGGGACCGNGGCGCACTGTAGCAGTGCGCCACTGGGCCGGCCCAAGTAAAAACTTTTTTTAGACAAACAAATGCTGAGAGAATTCATCACCAGCAGATCTGCCCTGTAAGAGATATTCAAGAAGTTTTTGAGGTAGAAAGAAAATGGTAGCCAATGGAAATGTGGGTCTACAGAAAAAAATAAAGAGCACAAGAAATGGAAAATATGTGGATAAATATATAAGCCTTTTAGAATTTTTAAATACCTATTTAGTAGGTAACTTTAAAGCAAAGATAATTGCAATGATAATTTATGTAAAAGTATAATGTATAATAGCAAAAAAAAAAAAAGAGAGGAGGAGGAAAATGGAAGTTTACTTTTATAAGTGTCTTAGACTATTTATGAAATGGCATAATAGTATTTGAAGATAGACTGTGATGAAGTAAATATGTAAATTGCATACTATCTCTAAAAACAACAGAGTTAGAGCTATACACCAATAGTGGAGGTTAAATGGAATAAATATCACTCAATCCTAAAGAAGACAGGAAAAGAGGGAAAAAAGAATAAAGATAATAGATTTAAACATTATTATATCAATATCAGCATTAATTACAAAAATCTAAACTTCAATTAAAAGGTAGATTGTCAGATTGGATAGAAAATAAGATGTAACTATAAGCTGTTACACCAGCACACTTTAAAAACTAAGACTCAGATAAATTAAAAGTATAAAAGGAAGGAAATAGATATGCCATGTAAACATTAATCAAAAGCAAGTTAAAGTAGATATATTAATAGACAAGAAGATTTCAGAGCAATAAATTTTACTAGGGGTAAAGAGGGACAATTTATAATGATAAAGGGGTCAAGACATAATTTTCATGCAGAGCTTCAAAATTTTTGCTTCAGAAGCAAAAACTGACTGATGCAGTTGAAAGGAGAAATAACTCCACATTTATAGTAGGAGATTTCAACTGGTAAAACATGTAAACAGAGGATCAGTAAGGATATAGAAGATGTGACTCAACTGATAGAACATTCTACCTAGTAACAGCAGAATACATTTTTTTTCAAGTGAACATGGAAAATTTACCAAGTAGACCATATTGTAAGTCACAAAACATGTTTCAATAAATTGAAAAGTATGCCAAGTATTCAGAATATGCAGAATATATTCTACAATAGAATTAAATTAGAAGTCAATGAGAAAAATATCTTGAGAATCTGAAGTATTGGAATACTAAGTGATACACTTCTAAATAACCCATGAATAAAAAAAGAAATAACAGGAGAAATTAAAAGATATTTTGAGCTGAATAAAAATGAAAACAAAAAATGTCAAAATGTATGTGGTGCTGCTAAAGTAGTGCTTACAATTAAAGCATAAAATTATTTTATTAGAAAAGAAGAAATGTCTCAAGTCATTGATCTCAGCTTGCACATTAAGAGAACAGAAAAGATGAGCAAACTAGCCCAAAATAAGCAGAAAGAAAGAAATATAAGAGCAGAAATTAAAGAAATTAAGGGTAGATAGAGAAAATTAATAGGACCAAAAACTGATTCTTCAAAAAGATCAATAAAATTGATAAATTTCTAGGCACAATTATCAGTAAAAAGAGAAGACACAAATTACTGATATCAGAAATAATAGTGGGAACAAAGTTTGGTTATCTTAAGATGTGTAATAACTGTTCTGTGGTCCCAGTTATATGCTATATTTCCAATTTAAGGAAACAGGAGAAACCGTCTTGAAACACTATGCTATTATGTTAAATACAAGGAAATGGGGGACCAGAAAAGAAATACATTCCAATGTCTGTTGAGATACCGCCCCATAAATTCTGGGCTGAGGTGGCTATTACTGGACAAAGCACTGGTGGAAAACGCAGTTTTTTTTTGTT